TCATTTTCTCACTTAGTTTAAATGGTTTATTATTTCCTAATTTGATATTCTCAGTGAAAGCCTGAGGGGCAAAAGGTGGCATAGATATCTGGTTGATGATAGGCTTTTTCATGTCAAGGAGCATATTTTCAATCCTATCAGTTTGTTTACCTATTGTTTGAAGGTTAATGTTAGTAAAATTATTTTGTTCAATAACCAGCGAGATATGTTCTTGTCTAGCTGTGTTGGAACTTGGCTCAAGAGTTTTTATAGGAGTAGCTTTGACTTCTTCTTTCCCTTTACTGAATTTTATTGGTTCAAGAGGAGGATGTAAAGATTCGATTTCTTTATCCTTTTCTGTTTTCCATGTGTTTGAGATCTTTTTTAGCATGCAGACCTGGTTTTCAGTAGGTAAATGTTTAAGAGAATTCTTTTGATCTTCAATGTAAACAAACTCATACCATAAGAAAAAAGGTATATTTTTTCTAATTGTTCGCATACAATCATAATATAGGGCTCGAATAGATGATCTAAAGTCCTTTTCATAAGTTTTAAAAAACCATTCTCTTTTATGTTGGTTTTTAGGAGAATTGAATTCAGTTCTTAGATATTCTTTATCAATCTCAAAAGGGGGTGTATTATCAATATTTTCAATAACATTAATACTTAGACCTGATGAATCTGAATCATCATAGATGGCAGTTGGCTCCATGTTATATTTAATTCCTATTGGTTTTTTGTTTTTAAGGAAATCTTTACCATGGGTCGAACAAGAGGAAACTGAGGCACGTTTTTCTTCATTAGCTTCAAGAGTAATTTTTCTGAACGAAGAAAAGTTAACCTCGACATCACCATTTGGATATTCAACAATTTTTTGGAGATTAGAATTTTCAGGGGGTAAAGGTTCAATGACTTGATTTAATTTCCAAACTGAAGGAAGTTGAATTTCATTCCATTTTAAAGTTCGTGGTACAACTAGATTATTTTTAGCATGGGTAAGAAATAACGTAGTTGCTCCTTTTTCAGGATTAACCTTAGCTAAAGGTGTGAGAGTATTCATGGCTTTATAGCAAATCCTATAGGTTAAAGCAATATTCTCGGAATTTATATCCATATTAAATCCAGAGGTTTGAAGATTTAAAGTTAACACTTTAAGGATACCAGGGTCTGATAAAGAGACTGAAAAATTTGGAAAGGCATTGAAGAAGATAGGACCATTGCTCAGACTTGATTCAATTAGACCAATTAAAGAGTCTGTAAAAACAGAGAACCTTCCGTCTCGTAAGCAAACAAGAACAGATGTATTAATGCCTTTTCTGGTAAGGGGTCTGATAGATACTTGAACTAGGCCAAGATGAAGGAATTTAAGAGTGGGATCATCAGTGATTCTTCGGATGCCGTTATCACTAAGTAATTGTAATTTCTCTGTGTGAGAAGTTACAGTTTTTGTTTTTTCAATGGTTTTAACATGATATGATGTTTTTAGTTTAAAACCTTCCTTACAATAAATATCATTAGTACTAACTTTAGGTATTTTCCAATTTTGAATAGTTTGGTCAATATTTTCGTAATCTAAAGATTCTAAGTTTTTTACAGACATGGTTCTAACAAAGGTATTCTTTTTGTCAGGAGAGAGATAGCTTAGAAGCTTAGGCATCTTAAGAAAGACTTTAAAACCCAACCTGTCAACAGCAAGGGATGAACACGGACAGAAAGACCCTAGACGCAAACAAAGCTTAACGGGCAAAACCGTGTGAACTGCGACAACTAGTTAAGGATAAAAAGACTTTAAGCAGATAGCAAAAGATCAAGCTAAAAATTAAGCATAAGAAGGACTCTAAAAAAGTTCACAATGTCCCCACCAGTCAACAACACCGGATGAACACAGAACAAAGCTGTGTAAGTTGCGACGAAGGCAAGTAAAAAGAGAACAAATAAAGAGGACTAGAGAATGCTAGAGATTCTAGATAATACTAGAAAAGATAGAGAATTAAAATTCAATTCAAGGAAAGCAGTAAAACCAAAGTAGTGCTTATGATAAGGCTGAATAATAAAATGCTTAGAATTAAAGCTAGGAAATAAAAGCAATCAAGCATGCAGTATTCGTAGTAGTTTTTTACTACAAATTTCTACAATTGTTTTATTGTAGAATAAGCACAAGAATCAAAAAGTGAGTTATTTCTCACGGGGATATACACCGGCTGACGGGGTCTACTGGTTCACCACTGCAGGCCGACTCCTCCACCGGCTAACTTGGCTCTGATACCAACCGTGACCAGGACTTGTTTAGCATTGATACGATAGAGCTAGCTAGTGGGGATTACTGTGTAGACGGAGGAGAGGATATATCTATTGTTTATAGCTATATCTTCTTCTTCGTTCACATGTATATCAAAAATAAAAGAAGAAAATATAGAGATGAATAGTAAAAATGAACAGTAAAAGCGTGAGCAGTAATGAACAGTAACAGAGACGGAAATGAACAGTAACAGAAGCAAACTAGATATATTTACATAAGAGTTTTACAAACTAGAAAGAAATCAAACTTAAAAACTTACAGACCGAAAGCTGGGAGATCCTGCTGGAACTAGTAATAGAGCACACAAAACACTCAAAAGAAAGATTAAAAGCAAACTTCACTCACACTCAAACTAAAACTTAAAACTGAAAAGAGGAAACTGGAGGGATTCCACAAGAGAGGATAAGACTTCAACTCTCCAAAACGCCTCCCTGAATGCTTCAACTTCTTCTCCTTTTATAGACTTTTTCTGGCACTGTGCAAAGGATTCCTTTTCATTCTTTAAAGCTTCTTTGGAGGTCCCCACCGTCTTCAATTTTGTCAACACCTACGGATCGTAGAGTAGGCTAGCCTTTTTGACCAAAATTTCTTCTTTGTTAAGCATCTAAGGCTGATTGGTTATAGGTATATAGGCTTGCAGTCTACTTTATTTAGCTGTGTAAGAAAATTATAAAAGTTAGATATTTTAAACTTTTGGAAAAAACAATATTTGATCGACTTAGTATTTAAGCCATTGATATTAATCAGTAGTTACCATAGGTTAATGGTATATGAATTTTACCATATGTTAATGGCGAATTTTGCCATATGTCACAGATCATCCCACCTATGTGTTACCTCCTCGACCAAATCGCTGTCAATTGATGCGTTATTCGAAGAGAGGGCTTCCTCTTGATATTGTTTTGCACCAATAAAGACATCATAAGCTTCTTTAGTTTCTGGCCCAATGGGTGGATTGGTCATCCATTTATCGATGACTGCCTTTGTAGCTCTGTGATGTGAGGTTTCCCCCATGCAAATATCAGTGCAGATGATTCTGAGCCCATCAGTCATAAAGTAGGAATAATCATCGAATAAAGTTTCAAGTTTTTGATAGAAACGGATGGTACTTTGAAAACGATCGAGGCCTGTATCATAGCGTTCCTCATTAAACCATGAACTCCAAGGAAGAATTTCATAGAAAGTAGAGATTTCCCAAATTTGTAAGCTCGGAAAATAGTCAGGTCCGCTTCGTTCATGTAAGGTAGCTGTAATGTTAAATTGAAGATGTGCCAAAGTTATTGGAGACAAAAAGATGGCTGTCTTGATTATGACTGGCAGACCCCTAAGCCTTAATGGATTGTAGAAGAATGGAGGTTCCCTTGCGATTTGTAATTCGTAGACAAGTCCAGCATCAATATGCGGGATGTAGACAGGAAGATGATTAATATTTATCGTGAATCTGGGAGATATATATATATATATATATATATGTGTGTGTGTGTGTGTGTGTGTGTGTGTGTGTGTGTGTGTGTGTATATATATATATATATATGTGTGTGTGTGTGTGTGTGTGTGTGTGTGTGTGTGTGTGTGTGTGTAAATACACACACACATACATACACACACATACATGTATATACATATACATACATACGTATATATGTGTATGTGTGTGTATATATATACATGTGTGTGTGTGTGTGATTCTAAGGAGCCACTTTAGATTTAATCTAAGGATGTACCTCTTGAAGTTTGGATTGAGCTATTTAATGGGCGATTCACTCCATTCATTAAGATCTAAATATCTTAGAACATCTGTAAAATAAAATCATGATGTTTCATATTTTTCGATGTCTCTTTAGTTGTATTGTCGTAAAATAGTTAATTTTACAATCACTTTATACATGAGTAACTACAACTCAGTAATTGATTGCATATTATGTAATTGAAAGGTGCAACTTTAGATGCCCCCCCCCCCCCCCCCACACACACATATATACATATACAGAAAAAATTTTAAATGAGATAGTGAGCTCAAATTCTTACCGTGAGCTACCCCCAATAGGCTACTTGATATAATGATCGACACCACGCATCGTGATTTACACTCATCATGATCTATATGTAGAAAAAATTATATTATTTTGAAAATTTTAACTATTGTTTTATCTACATGTAGAACAAATGGCTTTTAAGCTGCCTGAAAAATTAACATATCAAATTAGTTTGATTTATTATCTAGAAGACTCTAAGTTATGTGAAAATTTTACCATATATATTTGATGATGTGTTGAACAAAATGTATGACGTCGATTATGAATTTGATAAGCCAATTAGCCAAGCTCACTATAAGATTTGAGCTCATCATCTCACAATATCATTACTACATATATATAACCTAAGTTGCGGGAGTTTCGTAAAGTTCTTTCATTTGTTTTATTTTTTAATCTTTGATATATGATTAAGAAAAACATTGACAAGCTACGACCCGAACGATTTGGAGGTTCTAAAATGCCTCCAAATGTCTTGAGTTTGATTCGAAATGGGCTATTAAAAAAAAGGAAAGCATTGAAACGCAAGAAAGTGTATAGGATTTAGTGTCCACATAAATAGATGATACTTAAAAAGCAGCCTGGCTCATTTTCGGTATTCTGATTAAGGCCTCCCTTCCCTTCAAAACGTCTGCCACAAAGCCGAAGCCCATTTGTAAACCTGGACTATTTTACCCGGCCCTTTAAAAGCAACAATCCTCTCTCTCTCTCTCTCTTTCTTTCTTCCCAAAACCTCAAACTCACTCCCAAAACACAGCCAAACCCTAGACCCTAAAACCCTAATAATGGCGGCGGACACCAGCAAACCCTTCTTCCCCGTGGAATCCCGTCACCGGCCTCGCCAGCCCAAAACCCTAACTCCCAAATCGAGATTCTGGCGTTCTTTCAAATCGGCCCCTCTCTCAAATAATCTAATTCTTCCCGTAACTTCTATTGAGTTCTCGCCTTTGGCTCCTCACGATCTCGCGTTTTCCGTGTCGGCGTCGATTCATTTGTATAGTGGGAGTTCTCTGACGCCGAAATCGTTTTCGCCGTTGGGTTCTTTCTCTGATGTTGCGTATTCGCCTTCGTTTCGATGCGATGGGCAGTTGCTTGCTGCTGGGGGAGAGTCTGGACTCGTTCAGGTGAGACCATTTTGATGTGTTTTGTTGTTTGCTGGCGAAATTGATGTTTGGTTTTGTCCTACTTGATGCAGTTTAAAGTTGAAATTTTGGTTGATGTGGAAGTAAGATTGAATAGTGGGGCTGAAACCAAGTTGAAATTTACAGAGAGGCTTTGCAGTTTCTGATGTTTGTTCATGAGTGTTGAAATTTTGATCGGTTGGTATCAATATATGTTGAAACTTTGGTCGGAGTTAAGGTGTTTTATTATTTGAAAAGTTGGGGATGAAATTAGTTTGTGCTAGAGGGTGATGCATGGTTTCGTGTATGATTAGTGTTGAGCTGAACCTTTCATGCTTTATATCATGTTGATGGAATTGAGTACTGTTCCATATCAGTTTTTATTATTGACCTTTAGTGTGAAGAACTGTTTACCTAACTTGATACTTCTATATGTTGTTTACTATCAATATTTGCAGTTAGAACACAGAAATTGTGTCTACAATAGAGACATTTTGACAAGCAGTGTACCGATAAAGGAGAGCCCCCGCAAGTGTCCTACTGTCTGGGGCTTGGGGCCTCGGCTCAAATGGCCAAGGGTCGATCCATGTCTATTGCATGCCGATCTCCAACTGCTAACTATTACGCATTACAGCACTTTTGCTATTCACCTGGGTATGGGCGCCGAGGGGGAGAGGTTGCTGGGGTTTACCTGGCTGGTACTAAGCCAAGGTTCCTCGCGCGCGCGCGCACAAAGAACAGAGAAAGTGAAGAGGGGCATCTCTGTTTTCATTTCTCTTTGAAACCAACTTTTGAACATACTGGTTCAAATTCTGAACATTCTGATCCAATGCTTGCTCTTTTTGTTTTCATTTGGTCATATACTGACTATATGCCATATGCTATTCACATTTACCATTTCACTCTAAAATTTGTTTTATTGTAAGTCTGTATAGTTCACTAGTGGCAGATTGCTTGTTATCGTTTTACTTGTGTGCAAATGTTAGTAATTGTTTAGGTGGCTTGACATTGTTCATATTTATGTAATTTACTACTGATACTTGCACTTAGAACACAGGAATTTCATCCGCAATAAGAGAACTTTTGACAAGCAGTATATGAATAAAGGAGAGAGTGAATAGGGGTATCTTGATTTCATAGTAACCAATTTTTGAGCATATTAGCTCAAATTATTGACCGTGTGATCCAATGCTCGGCTTTACCATTTTCAATAGCATAAGTGATAAGTCAAAGATTGACTACAATCTATATGCTACATGCTACTTACAGTTAGCATTTCATTCTAAAATTTGGTATTGATTATTCACTGATGGCAAACTTTGTTTTCTTTTTTTATGTTGAATTGCTCATGAGCGTTGAATTATGTGCAGGTCTTTAAACTTGATAAGGCTGGCCATGCTATCCGTCGCCTACGTGCACACTCTCGCCCTGTACATGTAGTTCGTTACCCTCGAATTCTTGACAAGCTACATCTATTTTCTGGAGGCGATGATGCCTTCCTAACTTACTGGGATGTACCCTCTGAGACCCAACTCTTAACAGTCCCTGGAGCCCATAAAGACTACATTCGCGCTGGCTCTACATCCCCAATCAGCTCAGAAGTCATAGCCACGGGATCGTATGATCATTCTATCAAAGTTTGGGATGTTAGAGTATCAAATAGTTCAAGCCCAGTTATTAATTTTGATCATGGACACCCAGTTGAGAGTGTACTCTTCTTACCTTCTGGTGGTCTTATTGCAACCGCTGGGGGTAATAGTGTCAAAATTTGGGATGTTATCGGTGGCGGGAGATTGATTCATACATTGGATAGTCATAATAAGACAGTAACATCAATGTGTCTCGGAAAAATTGGTACTGAAAATGGCGGAGAGAGTAGAATTATGAGCGTGTCAATTGATGGGTATTTGAAATGTTTTGATTTTGCTGCTCTTAAAGTTACTCATTCAATGAGGTACCCAGCTCAGTTGTTGTCTGTGGGGTTCTCTCCATCAGGAATAGCTCGGGTTGTGGGGACTTCAAATGGAAATGTATATATTGGAAAGAAAAAGAAAAAGGATGATGAGAAGATGGAAATTGTTGATGACTTCAGTGCTTTTCGTCCTGAGCCTAAAGAAAAGGTTTTGAGGCCAACCAATTTTAGATACTTTCATCGCGGCCAAAATGAGAAGGCACTTCAAAGTGATTTTGTTGTGAAGAAGCCAGCCAAGGTGAAATTGGCAGAGCATGATAAGCTTTTGAAGAAGTTTCGGCATAAAGATGCACTTGTTTCTGCATTGAATGGAAAAAATCCTAGTGGCATTGTGGCAGTTATGGAAGAATTGGTAGCAAGAAAGAAGCTTGTTAAGTGCGTGGTGAATTTGGATGTGGATGAGCTTGGATTGCTATTAGGGTTTCTTCATAGAAATGCTACATTACCGAGATATGCAAGGTTTTTGATGGGTTTAGCGAAGAAAGTTATTGAGTTAAGGTCTGAGGATTTGCAGAGTTCAGAAGAGTTGAGGGTTCATGTCAGGAATTTGAAGCGGATGGTTGCTGAGGAGATAAAGATACAACGGTCTTTGCAAGAGATTCAAGGGATGATCTCGCCTTTGCTCGCAATTGCTGGAAGGTAGATTTTTGTTGCTGCAGCTTTCTGATGTATGAATATGATATCTACACATCGTTTTTCGAGGCACAAGTTAATGTAGACATTTTTATATAGGGGTTTTTTGCTATTTTCCTTTAATTCATGAGTTTTGTAATCGGTAGAAGGCTTTGCGTTGCTACCAGATTGCTTGTTGTATTTGATGCCTCTACAATCAGTTCTATAGATGCTTTGGTTCTTGATTAATTGAACCTGTAACCAGTAATTTGTTTTTGCAATTCAGTTTGTTATTTAATAGTGTATTTGACGTTTTTACTTATTATTCTGCGTGGGCCTTTGAAAATATTTCTGATGTTACAGTGTAATAGCATATAACTTGGAACGCTCTCGTTATGTTTTATAAGAATAATCTAACAGGTTTAATATTTAATATCTCTATTGCAAAGAAGTCTTGTAGTGAAATATTTTCTCTGTGTAATCCTGCAACAAAGCCCTATTATTTCATAATGAGTGAGGTACTTGAACTTGAGCTGTGAACATAAGCAGGCAATGAATCAATAGCATCTGTTGACTCATGTTATACTAAGGTAATGAATTAATGGTATTTGAAATTCATGTTATATGTTGGAATTTTGATTTCATGCCCAATGCCTCATTTTTCACTTCTGTGGTATTTAATTTTTGTTGTTTTATTATTTCTTATTGGGTTTATTATTCAGATTATCTGTTACAGGTCAATAGAGTACAAAAAATTCGAAGAGCTGCTAAACTGTGTTTTTTCTATGGTAAACGAGAGCAACAGGTCTTTTTCTATTTTACCGCTACTTTGGAGATAAAACCAATGTTACGAAGCTCACCTGCTCTTTTTTCCTTTACTGCTACTTTGTTTTTGTTTCCTCAACATTTAACTATTTCAACATTTTATATGATTTCAAGGACTAATATCAAAATATGAAAGATATATGGGACTAATATGAAAATACCCAAAATTTAGGATAGGAGAATTTTTTTAAAAAGACCCATTTTAAAAAATAATTAGCAAAAAAAGATTTTTTTAATTAAATAATTAGCAAAATCGACATCTTTTTAGCCAACTCATCAATGCTAACTAACAAGAGGTTAATTTTGCAAAATTTAGTGTTGAAAACACACAGGACTACTAGTCCCATGTGTTTAGCGTTCGTTAATCACATTCTAAGCACAATCTAGAAAATACACGG